CTGCTTGGGAGGCTGAGGCAAGAGAATCGCTTAAGCCCCAGAGTTTGAGGTTGGTGGGAGCTGTGACGCCACAGCACTCTACCCAGTGCGAAAAAGTGAGACTATCTCAAAAAAAAAAAAAAAAAAAAAGAACCGGGACCTTTTCTTGTCTGTCCTTGTAACCTTTTCAGTGCAATGCATGACAAACACGTAAGTTTTATGTTTACTTCTTTCCCCTTCCTAAGTGCTTAAAAAGCTTTGTTCATTATCTTAGTAAACATACGTGTAGGAAAGACTGGTATTTTTACATTTGATTAAACAGTAAGAAACCATGCTATAAAGATTTCCCTTTAGATTTTTTTTTTCTATTTCTCTGGAGAGTGCAAATATTTGACATTTTCCAAGTATCATTTAACATCTCTATACAACCTACCTCTTTGTTCACAAAACCCTCTTTAAGATAGTTTTCAACCTCGGGTCTCAAAGATATTTTAGGGAAAACAGACATTTTTATCCTGTTGTTTAGTTCTCCTCCAAGACAAGTGCTGGGAAAACGGTGTTTTTTTTCTCTTTCTGAATTACAGTGAGCAGCGTCTTGACAACGAACAGCCACACACAAAGCGCCGGTAATACGAAGTATTCGGGGAAAACGTGCCGATCACGCCCAGTTTTTAATTCGTTTCGCGGAGAAGCGTCCACGCTTTTTAGAGCCTCGCCAGATTTTAAATGTCTTTGCTCCGCTGGGGATGATCACGGAAGTCACTGAGGCGATGTCACAAGGCCGCAGAGAAATCCCCTCCAAAATTAAAAGAAAAGAAAAGCTTAGTAACTGAATAGTGGCTAACTGAATACAGATCTGGAAACCAAGCAGGCAGCCGCTCTCTTGTTATCTTATAACATATCCTCATTTTTAAACCCGCGCCGCCAACTTTTCCGCGGAAAACCGCTTTCCGATTGCGTCACGTCCGGCGCCGGCGGGGCTCCTCCTCCCTTTCCAGTCTCCCAATCCGCAGCCGCAAACAGCCGCTAGCCCCGCCCCGCGGACGGCGGCTCCGCCCGCCGAGTCAGGCAGGGCCACAGTAGGGAGGGACGGTGGGCGGGGTGAGTAAACACGTCTAGCTGCGGGCAGGGGAAGATTGGACGCCGGGAAATGGCGTGGGTTGGAGGAAGACCCGGCCTGCCTGGATCATGGGAGGGGCTCAACTGCGGTAACCTCAAAGTAGAGGAGGTGGACGAGTTTAAATCACTACCTGCTTTATCTTGAAAATATCTTTCCGATCTAGGTAAGGAGGAACCACATAGACTCTGGAAAAGAAAAGGGCTTTAACTTGTAAGTAGAGTTTAGCAAGATCCCTGGACAATCTCTATCTTTGCAGTGATTAGGTACTTGACTTCTAGATCAGCTTCAAAAAACAAAAACCTCCTATAATCGAGCAATTACAAATCACCGTGACTGCCACTGAACAGCAGAACCCTTATGGCTTTATGTCTTTAAATTAAGATCGACATTTTGAGGTACCCGTTGGAAGGAACGCCTACCAAATGTGAGAAGGCTGATCATAATGAGATGTTAATTCTCATTGATTGCATATTGGTCAAAGGCAAAGACCTAAGGATGCTTTGACCTATTTGGCGTTTTGAAACTCAGAACGTCATGACTCCTCTTTGTAAACATAAAACAACTTCATCAGAATCTTACCTTACATATACTCTTCCCACTGATAGGAACGTTAAATTTCTTTTGTACTATCTAAAGCATCTTAAAAGTGTTGATTTCTCAATAGACATTTACTGAAAATGACATGATATTGACTTCTTACATCATATGAAAGAACAGAATTTTCTTACAGGAAATCTGTCAATCTCATCTAAAATGGAGATTGATCAGTTAGACTAAAATCACAGTGAACATTACCTTACAGGTTGAGGAGAGTTTTCAAAAACACTTAAATGAGTAAATTTCATTCCTTGCTGGAAGAACATTCTGTGCTCTGAAATCTTGGTTCAACCCTTGAACGAATTGATCTTCATTATCTGCGTAATAATTTGAATTTAATTCCAGCTGAGGCTAGTTCTTCCAAGTAGTATTTTATCTGTCCTAAAGTTAGTTTATAATAGTTTGTTCTAAGAAATATTATAGTTTCATTTCTCAAATTCTCCACTTGACATTTTTCTTCCTAAAATTTCAGTTTCTTTGGTTTGTACCTTTTTTTGGTTGTTGTTTGCAGTTTTTTTTGACCGGGGCCAGGCGTGAACCCACCACCCCCAGAATAGGAGGCCGGAACCTTACTCCTTGAGCCACAGGTGACACCCTATATTTTATCTTTTTTTATACTGGACAGAGTTTACTGAGTTTCCATCTTAATTAAAAGTTATTTCCAATTAACACTTAAGAAAATAAGTTCTAATCCTATAATAGTATTATGTTCCTTTTTATCATATTTTTTCTTATTTCATGAACTCAAACTTATTGTCAAATAGTACCATTCTATAGAACAGTATCACCTCCTCTGTACCAAGGGCTACCCTAAAATTACTTTTTAAAAATTGTAAAGGATTGTTTTAAGAAAAAAAAAATCATACAGAAGTTATGTTTCTAAGTGCTACATTTAAAAACTCGAAATTTCGGCTCGGCGCCTATAGCTCAACCGGCTAAGGCGCCAGCCACGTACACCTAAGGTGGCGGGTTCGAATCCCCAGCCCGGACCCGCCAAACAACAATGACAGCTGCAACCAAAAAATAGCCGGGCGCTGTGGCGGGCGCCTGTGGTCCCAGCTACTTGGGAGGCGGAGGCAGGAGACTCGCTTGAGCCCAGGAGTTGGAGGTTGCTGTGAGGATCTGTCTCAAAAAAAAAAAAAAAAAAAAAAAAAAAAAAAAAGAAAAACTCGAAATTTCTCTGAAATTAGCAGTATTGTACTACAATTTACATAACTGATACAAGCATACGATATGAATGTAGTGTATTTTTTTCTAACAGATCCATAGACACACCAGTGTGACTTGTTAAGATAATACAGCACTATATACCATTAATGAATGATACCCATTGTTTCATGTGGCTAATTTTCTTCTCCACTTTTTAAATAAAGATTTCAAATTTCTAAATCTGCTAATTTAACATTTTGATATGAAAACTATTTAAAAATATTAGAGCAGTTTTATTTTCAGGTAAACTGTTCATAGAAAAGATGTTTACAAAAAAAGTAAATTTTAACAACAGTCCAACATAAAGTTTCCGGATATTTCCAAGGACTAGAACCAATAAAAATATCAACAGCCCTCCTCAAATATATTAATTCACGTAGCTAGGAGTGGAAATATAATTCAAATCTACTGTTTCTAAAATTTCATTAGGCTGTAATAAAAATATTTAAGAAATCTATAGTTTTTCACTTCAATTCTGTTTTTTAATAGAAAACGCTCTATTCTTTCCAGAAACTGTTTCCGAGAAATCTGAAATCCAGGGGAAAAAATTATGTGGTTTATATCCATGTCTAACAATTGAAGAATCTGTTACTGAATCTATACGTTTATTCTTTAATGAACCTAGGCCTAGAGATGTCCCAGTAAGTTTCGATTCATACAAACACAAAATCATTTACATTTATGGCCCAAGTTGATACACAAGTTAAATTAATCTCCATAGGTTGAGTACATCTCTTTATCATAAAGTTGAAGCATTATTATCCTGCCTCTAAGTGTTAAAGGGTCTGTGAAACCGGAGCACTGGGAGGACATCATACACTTCCTTTTGCACATGGAATGAAAATAGTTTGACATTTTAAAAGTCCACGCTGCCAGGGTTAATATCCAACCCCCTGACTAAAGTCATAGTCCTTTCAGTTAAGCTTGCTTCGTCAGCTGGTTTCAGGGACACCCAATTTCGTCTCATTCGAGGCTGTGAAGGTTTACCTTTCCATCTCTTGGAACTTTCTGCATCATGAAGAAGGTTTTAAAAAAAGGACCTAACCATGGACGGAAACCAAAATTGAAAATCCTGCAGAGAATTAGATCTAAGATTCAGGAACTTACCTAATGCTTGGTAAAACTGCCAAGGGGAGGGGGCATGGTTAATCACAGAACTGAACTCTGAGGCTGCAGGCATTCCATGGCTCACCTCCCAATCAATTCTATTCAGAATTTAGAATTACAACAGAACCCCAAACCTGCCTGTCCAGCGTGACAGGTAAGAAAAGTTCAGTTAGAAGAAAAACATATCACTGCTATATGTCAAAGGGCAGCAAACAGCGGCTGCTTAATCACAAAAATTGTGGCATTTTTCGTGTTTCAGAGGCCAGGGTCACAGCTGCCTTACGGCAAGGGTACTCAGAGGGAGCCCCAGAAACAAGAGATGGAGCGCCCGCCAAGGGAAATCCCCAAATCTTTATCACACCCCAATCTCCCAGACTCAGGCGCGCCCGGGGTCCGCCCACCGGAAGTGAAACTAAAGGAAACGCCACGTCGGAGTCATGAGTGACGTAAGCGCGCCGACGTCACGCGCCGTTTTTCCGGCGATGGGTGGTCCTGGGATCGGCAGGGGAGGCGGAGCCGAGGCGGGGCCTGGGGCCGGTGGAGGCTCTGGTGGGTAGGTGGGTTCAGACCGAGGGGACTACGGGTCGGCGTTGGGCTCAGCGGGCTCGAAACAAAGGACTATCCGGTGGGGACGCGGTGCGGCGCCTTCCGACGGGCAGCCGAGCTGCGAGTCGAAGCTTTGCGGCCAGCCAGTGCCTTCGCTGCGCGGTCTCAGCCTGCTTTTTCTCGGTTCCCCACAGCCAGCGCCGCCGTGGGGGGCCCGGCGCAGCGGCACCTGCTGCTGAGGGATCCCGGGGCCCGCCCAGGTGCTCATGATGGGGCTGATCTTCGCTAAACTGTGGAGCCTCTTCTGTACCCAAGGTGAGAAGGATCGAGCTGCGCAGCGGCTCGAGTCCGGGACGACTGGGGGTCCGGCCGCCGGAGAGAGGAGACAGCCGGGGGCAGAGCTTTGGGGGGACTGAAGCGTTCGGAGAAGCGGAGAAGTGACTTAGTCCAAGCCGGAGCAGGAACCCGGCGTTTTAGACTGGGAGAATATACAAGAGAGACATGGTGGGTGGCGGAAAGGGGCAATCGGACGAGAGGGCATTTGATGTCCCAGAATCCAAATTGAGAATTTGGGGATGTTAAGGAAGCAAAGGAGACTACACCTAAAAACGCCCGGAGGCTTTGGAGGGCCTTTTGCGTCTCTAATTAGGCGTAGTTTCTGTGTCTAGCCCCAGGTTAAGTGTCCACCTGCACTACTAAAAATTTTTTTTCCGTATTAACTAGTTTTGCTTTGTTTTCCTTCCTGCCCTTTAAGTCCGTGCACCTTCACGCTCTGATTTCTCCTGATTTCTAGGACTCGAGAATGAGTTACCCTATTCAGATACATGGAGTTTCCTGAAATCTTCATTCTAGACATCCCCCCCCCCCACTTTGGCGTTAAAAACTAAAACTTAGTGCTTTTGGTTCTGTGTAAGACGGTACGTGTCCGTAATTAGTCCAGAACAGGTTATGAGACATCTGGAAGTCGCAAGTCCAAAGGGCCAAGAAGTTGTAAAACCTGTTGTAAGAATGAGATGTGATGTCTTCTGAAGAGAAAAAATATTAAGATAAAAAAGAGGCCAACCATAAGTTGTAGGCATTCTATTTCCAGAACGGTTTCTTAGTAATTGAAACCAGTTTTTAAGTGCAGCTGGTTTTGCTTTTAATATTCAGGGATAATTTATAAACCAGTTTTATTTTTATGATGATACCAATTTATTATTGCTAATGTATCTTTTTTTCTGGATTTAAGAAGTCCTGAAGGGAATGAAATGGTGTTAGTTCACTTGTTCTATGGTATAAGAACTGTAGTCATTTTCAAGTTATAAATAAAGACCATATGTGTGTATGCCGTCAGTACAGATAAATATTGTTTATCAAATAATTTCAAAAGTGGCCAGAGTTTAACTCTCTGTGGATATTATCATAAATTGTGTATGTTTTTAGCAGTTTATATTTTATAATCCTTGTTAAAGAAGTTCCCTACATAAAGCAACATTTTAAGACATGCTTATGTATAAAGATGAACAGAACTATCACCCCATTATCTTTCCCCAGGACTTAAGAAATAACATTACCAAAGGAGTTGGTTCTCCCTGTGTACACCTTTCTTTTCTGTTCCATATCGTTTTTGTTTGAAGTTTCCTTAATCAGACTAGCAGGCAATAAAATATGTGAAAGGAAAATTGTGAAGATGATGAAACACGTTTCTTGGCTACTTTCGTAGTCACATAACTAATTGTTCAGGCCTCCTCAGTCTCCATTTCAACTTTTGATTTTTTTTCTTTAAATCTCCTGTTGAAAATTTAGAACTGGTGGTCATTCTGTCACTTGATCCTCTTTAATTCCTGTCGCCATAGGCCAGTCTTCAGAATTAAGACCTCCTTTGTTCTCAAATTACTCAAATGAGGCAGACATGAAAAAAAAAATGCAGCGTAGCAGATTATTTAACATGTATGTGCAAAAAAAGTGAGGGCCTCAAGAAAGAAGTGATTCATCTTTCTCAGGTAGTCTGTGGGAGACTTTGCTGGGTAAGGTATACATGGACTTTGAAGATGAGTAGGCGTTTAGGAGGCACGCGAGACCAGTGGGGGAGAGAAGCATTTTTTCTAGAAAGAAGGAAGGCTATACAAGAGGAATTAAATAATTTGGTACATTTAGGAATAGATCGGAGAGGTAATCAGGAGAACCAGATCACAGATGTCCACTCCAACATGAAGCTGTTTAGACTTAGAACGAGGAGTGGGGAGCCGTTGGAGAGTTTGAACTTGTGATTTTTTTAAAGCAGGAGAATGTCATGAGGTACCTATCTTAGTTCGTACTTTTCTTTTCTGCATTAACAAGATTAATCGCCAACCTCAATAGTTTCCAGTTTTGTCACTATATGTATCTAATCCAGAGGTATTAGATGTATTAGAATAATATGCCCAAGGCACAACCTTGGACCAGTTAAATCAGAACAGGATAGGGTGGCCTGGGCATCAGTGGCAAGGTAATTGGCATGTGCAGGTAGTGTTAAGAACGTATGTACTCCTTTCCGTTGTCTACTGGTATTTCCTCACTCCCATCTTTTTATTTTTCCTGTAGTATTTTAGAGCCTCAAATACCTTCTTGTAAATTGGATGCTGTTTGAGTTTAAGAATACTAAAGTGTGTGTTGTTTAAAGCAACTTAAAAGAACACAATCCCAGCAGTTTTGTATTGTTTAATTTTAAACTAGAGTACTGATTACTTTGGCAGCTATCATTCGAAGAAATGATTTCAAAATCTGATCACCTTTCTAAACATTTTATATATCTATGTGGTCCTGTAGGTATGTTTTTATAAAATATCAGTGTGTATATGTATGGTTTTGCATTCCTTTTTTTATTTTTATTTTTTTAATTTCTTTTTGTCTTTCACAGGCATGATCTTTTTCTCTCTGTGTTGTGATGGTACAAAGTGTTATCTAGAATTAAGAACAAGTGAAATAAAGTTTTAATTGGAGTTCATTTTCACAACCCAGTAACAACATCTTAATTCCATCATCATTATTTCTTTCTCATTTGTGAATTTCATGCTATCATTTGATAGCCACCTTTTTATGAGATCATTACTGTCCTTGACTTCTCACTGCATAGGTCTTGTGGCTCACATTTCTCCCTTTACCTTTTTTTGCTCTTAATTCTTGGCTTCTTGCTGGTGTCATACACACTGAACTTAAATGTAGGATTTACTCGTCATCTTCCAGTGCATTCTTTATCCCTGGTTCAGTTCATTTATTTATTCTGATTTTCTATCAAATGTCGCTCCTAAGATGCCTTCCCTGACTACTTTATCAAAAATAGCACGCTTGCCACCCCACCTCTCATTCTATCTTTTTCTCAATAATGCTTATCACTACCTGTAATTGTATTATAAATTTGTTTACTTGATTGTCGTGTCTTTCAATGGAAATAATTCTCTGAAGCATGAACTTTAATCCTTTCTATACGCCCCCAATAGCTGTCACATAATGGGTGCTGATTTTAGTGTATTTTTTTTAAGCATAAAAGTCTGTTTGATTAACATATTCATGGGTCATTTAGAAAGTCTGAGATACGCAAAAATGAAGAAACGTAAAGAAACAAATGAAGCCTGCGCAGCAACCCTGATAAATTGTGAAACTTGCACAGGTGAATCAGGAAAGACACTGTCAGCTGTTTCTTAGAAGTGAAATAACGAACCAGTGACACAGTCTGTCTTAAAACTTTCCTAGTGACTCACATACATTGCTTTTTAAAGTTAGTGTTGAAGTCTTTTTTTTTTTTTTTTTTTGAGACAGAGCCTCAAGCTGTCCCCCTGGGTAGAGTGCCGTGGCATTACAGCTCACAGCAACCTCCAACTCTTGGGCTCAAGCGAGTCCCCTGCCTCAGCCTCCCAAGTAGCTGGGACCACAGGCGCCCGCCACAACACCCGGCTATTTTTTGGTTGCAGCCATTATTGTTGTTTGGCGGGTCCGGGCTGGGGATTCGAACCCGCCACCTTAGGTGTACGTGGCTGGCGCCTTAGCTGGTTGAGCTATAGGCGCCGAGCCTAGTGTTGAAGTCTTAAAGTGGTGTATATATCGGTCGTGCCTCTTCAAACTCCTTTAACTTTTTTTCCTCTATACTCTTCTATATAGCTGAATAAGATGCCTGTATGGAAGTTACCATTGGTCTTATTGCTATAGAAGAGAAACTCGTACTTTCCTCGTCATCCTAGTATAGTTTATTATACACTAAATATTTTCATTATTATGGCTGAAGTTTTATTGCTGAGCTATAGTATGCTGTAACCTGGGACCTATCTGGTGATTTCTTTCTCCTGCCCTCTCCTCCAGACTGCTTCAGATAGAACTTGAGTCTGTGTCTCTTTTTTTTTTTTTTTTTTTTTTTTTTGGCCAGGGCCAGGTTTGAACCCGCTACCTCTGGTATATGGGGCTGGCGCCCTATTCCTTAAGCCACAGGCGCCACCCCGAGTCTGTGTCTCATACACAGCTGTTATAAACTTGCCTTTGCTTTTCTATTTTATTAAACCAGTATCTTCTTTCCTGATTTACTCTTACTCTGATGAAACTCATTCTTTAGAAATTTCCTGCACAGGTGTCCATAAGTGCTTTTCTTTCTTTCTTTTATTTTATTTTATTTTATTTTCCTTTTTGAGATCTTACTTGTTGCCCAGGCCAGTCTCAAACTCTTGGGGGCAAATGATCCTCCTGCCTCATAAGTAGCATTTTGTTTGTTTCTCACTTTTACTAACATTTGGTGTTATTCGTCTTTAATTTTAGACATTCTGTTGGATGTGTAGTGCTATCTCATTGTGGTTTGAATTTCCATTTTTCTGGTGAACATTGAGCGTATATTTTACTTGTGCTTAATAGGTGTTGGTGTATAGTTCTTTGAAGACAGATCATCTTTTGCCCATTAAAAAAAATAATTTTGGTCCTTTTTATCATTGAATTTTAGGAATTAGTTATATATTTTGAAATTGAACCCTTTGTCAACATGTGTTTTGTGAAGGGTTTGCCTCAGTCTCTGGTTTACCTGTCATTTTCCTAATGGGGATTTTTGTTAATGCAGAAATTTTTGATTTTGGTGAAATCCAATGCCTCAAAAAAAAATTATTTTTTAGTGGCTGTTGCTTTCTGTGTCCTGTTTAAGGAATCTGCTCCTTTCATCTAGAAGCTTTAGTTATTATGCTTAGCTCTCTGATTCATCTCAAATTATTTTTGGTTTATGATGTGAACAGAGATTGAGTTTCTTTCTTTCTTTTTTTTTTTTTTTTTAACACGAACACCTGCTGGTTCCAGCATATTTACTGAAGACTTTTTTTTCCCCA